TGTGCTGTGATCACAAGTGTGAACCACCCCATCCAGTCCAAGGGAGTTTCCTATGAATCCAGAGTAGTAGAGAAGGATAGAATGCCTTGCAGAGGGAATGAATGGGAGGGGGAGGAGCTGTGGAGTAAGGGATGATTCTGGAAAGAACCATCTGCCTTGAGTTGCGTCTCAAGTCTGTTCATTGAAGTCTTAACTGGGATGAGCATGAAAATTGTGTTCTGCCCTTGTCTTAGTTGGGGTTTCTATTGATGTGAAGAGGCACCATGACCATGGCAACTCTTATAAAGGAAAATATTTCATTGTGGTGGCAGCTTAAACTTCAGAGGTCTAGTCTATTATCTTATGGCAGGAAGCAAGGCAGCATGCAGGCAGACATGGTGCTGGAGCTGAGAATGGTACACCTTGACTCACAGGCAACAGGAAATGGTCTGAGATACTAGGAGTAACTTGAGCATAGGATACCTCAAGGCCCACCCCCACAGTGACACATTTCTTCCAACAAGGCCATACCTATTCCAACAAAGTCACACTTCCTAATAGTGTCACCTCCTTTGAGGGCCATTTTCTTTTAAAGCACCACAGTGCATAACATGAGCCTTGGGTGTGAAAATTTGCTTTACTTCCCAATCCAACACGAATAAACAAATGTGTTCTATTGCCGTTAGCTATAATTTTGCACTCAGTTACATGAGAGCCAAGACTCAGATGGGTGTTTACCATAGAAGACAGCTACCTGAATTTATCCTTCTGACTTTACCTTCTAGCTTTTGTTATGTTTAGGCCAGGAAGATAGGGCATTTATCTTTTAGCTTTTGTTAACTTGGGCATAGGAAGACTAGTTAATTATACTTAGTGGTGTTAACCCCTTAGCTTTGTGGCCTAGTCTAAGGCCCTCAGTTGCTCTTCTGGTTTACTTTAACTGAGCTGTGTCAAGCAGGCTGAGGACTGCACACTGACATGTTAGCATTCCAAAGCTGTAGACTGTCTCTGTTGAGGTTTGCCCTGCTTGTCAGTCCTAACAACAAACACTCAAAATGTGGCTAGAGGGGGAAAGGGAGAATCTCAGGGGCAAAGCCTTGCCTAGCAGGCTGGAACTCAATTGCCAGCTGGAGGTGTAGTCGCAAGGGACCAATCCGGGACGCACCGCTTAGAATAAAATGTAAAGGCTGAGTCACAGCTCAGTGGTCGGGCGCCACACAGCATACACAAAGTCCTACTAGGTTCAATCCCCAGCACCTACCCACTCTGCCAAAAACACAAAAACAAAAAACTCAAACCTAAATGTATGATATAAATGAAAAATGTACACGGGACTCGAAAGACTTAGTGTAAAAATGGAAGACATGAAATATTAATAATTCTGAATGCAGACGTTATGCTTGTTAAGTTTCAGACCCAAGACATTGCTAACATACCAAAGCAGACCTGGCTGCCAGGTTCTCCCAGCATCCCTCAGTCCCTACCTGTTATAGGGTATGGCTGACATACCCCACCGTCTACTCTGATCTCTCCAGCCCAGCTTCTGGGCCACCCTTTCCCCCTGGAGACTCTTTCCTATACATTTTGGTTACCCGGTCCTTTTGTAGCTTTGGCCTGCTGGCTGCTGCACCTGGTATCCCTTTATTCCCTCTCCCTGCCCCTCCCCCATCTCCCCATATGGCCCAGCCCGGCTCAGCCCGGTCACCTTCACTCTGGACTCTCCAAGATGTCCCTGCCTCTGCCTATGCTCTCCCTTTTATCTACAGTAAACTTTCTCCTCCACCATACCTAGAAGCAGTCATGTCCTTTCCTTTTCTTTTTTCGTTCTTTTTTTTTTTTTCTCTCTTTAAGATTATTTATTTGTCTTGTTTACAGTATTTGGCTTGCATGTAGCCTGCGGGCCAGAAGAGGGCACCAGATCTCATTACAGATGATTGTGAGCCACCATGTGGTTGATGGGAATTGAACTCAGGACCTCTGGAAGAACAGCCAATGCTCTTAATCACTGAGCCATCTCTCCAGCTCCCTCCTTTTCTTTTTTCATTCAATGATGAAATATATTTGGGGGTCTTATTGTATCATATAAAATATGAAATTTATCTGTTTCTTTTTTACTTTTCTAGGTGTGGCTACTAGGAAAAGTTTAAGTCACTTTTGTGGTTCACATTAAATTTCTATTAGGGAGCTCTAATTGAGAATAAGATCTTTTTTCTTTTCTTTTTGAGACAGTCTCACTCTGTAATCAAGGCTGGACTTGTGGCAAGTCTCCTGCCTCTGTCTCCCTACTGCTGGGACTGCTGGCATGTGCTGACACATGTGGCTTAGAGTGTAAAATCCCAAGCTAAGATCAAGGCCATGATTCGGTTCTGTGTCCCCAAGAAGCCCACCAAGGCTGGTTCTCTACAGTGGCACTACTGGAGAAGGTGGAGACTTTAAGCTGGAAGGCAAGTGGGAAGCCAGCAGGTCACGGGACTTGCCTGCCTTTGAGGAGAACATGGGACCCAGCCCCTTGGTCTTGTGCTGGTGTCACTGTAGAGCCAGCAGCAGTGGGGCCCAAGCAGTCCTGCAGAGACCTCCCAGAGTGTGAGTTGAAAGAGACCTTGTTTCTCAGCAGTGTTCGCTTGAAAGATGAAAGAACGCAATGCCCAAAACAAAAATAAAAATAAAAGACGTAGACACAGGCAACAGCAAACCTCTACAGCCATGAACGTCACACAGGGAGAGTCACTGTGACCCCAAGCAGAGAAGAGAAAGAATAGCTGATCCGCTATGGAAAGTTGCTCTAGCAATAGAGGGGAACACTAGGGGAGAGGGAGCATAGGAGGCACCAGAACGTTCCAATCACAGCATCTGCTCTCAGAGTGCTGGCATGTTTTCATGAGTTTGTTGTTGTTCTGATTTTTGTTTCTTTGAAATAATCTGGCCTCCGGTCATCCTGCCAATGTCTCCCAAGTGCTCTCAGGGGTCCTTAACTTACCGTGCATGATGTAGGTACTCTACAGTTAAACCTCTCAACTCCTCCTCACATTAACTCTTTGTTGGCCATGTCGAGCATCAGAACCTGTGCATGGCAGGCAAGGCACCGCCACAGAGCTGTAGCCTCAATACCTTTGGCCTTTTATTTTGCAACAGGATCTCACTAAGTTGTCTAGGCTGACCTTGAACCCATTCTGTAGTCCAGGGAGGCCCTGAATTTACATTACCCCTTCCTCAATTTGTGGAGTAGCTGTGATCACAGACTTGTGTCTTTAGGCTTGGCTCATATCAAAATTTTTAATTCAGAAGATTAATACACAGGGGATTATACAGGAAACCAAATCAGGACCCACAGGGGACTGCTTCTAGCCTCTACACACCAAAATCTGGCTGTTCAGATCCCTTAAATAAAGACTACAGTGCTGGCTTACAAGACACACACATTGCCCTGCATGTTTTTTGTTCACCGTCCGCCATAGTGAGGATCAAACTCAATGTTTTTTCAACACACTAGGCAGGCACTCTAATGCTGAGCTAGACTCTCAACTTCCCACATACTTCCAGTGATCTCTAGGTTAGTATTACCTAATACAATGTAAATGCTGAGTGAACAAACAAAACCAGGAAGGTGGCCTCGTTGTAAGGCATTTGCCAAGAAAGAATGGAATTCTAAGTTGGCGTCCTTAGAACTCAGGTAAAAACAGAGCCTGTAACCCAGGCTTGTACCCCAGTGCTCATACAGTGAGATGGGAAATGGGAACAGCAGACCCTCCTGAAACTTGCAGGCCGGCTATCTTGTGTATAAATGGCAAATAAAAGATAGTGACTGGCATCCAAGATTGTCCTCGAACCCCAAACACAAAAGACCCCATGACTTAGAAGTAGTACACATGCTTCTTTATTGGTACCCAAAGCAAGATGGAGCAGCTGGTTTGATAATTGCTGTAATTTTAAAGGTTAGGGATCAATGATTCAAACAGCTACACTAGGGTACATACAGGGCATGCTAACATTGCTATAATTTGTTGCACACATTTACACGTGAAGGAAAATGCCTGTAAGTGACAGGCTATAGGGCAGGGGAAGGTGTTTTCCCTCAATAATGTCTCAGAGCACTCTGAAATTTATCTAGAGCCCTGAGGGTCAAAACCACCTGTAAGATGTTTCTAAGTGTCAATCAGGTAAAACAGGTGTAACATTTTCACCACTAGGCAGTATTCACGTGACCACATCTAAAAAGCAAATCTGTCCAATAGACACAGTGGCCTGAGACATTTTAGCAGAAGGCTGGGTTTTCTCTGAGTTATGGTTATAATCTGTGGCTTTGGTTCTTTGCATGATTTTGTTTGTTAGTTGGTTTAGGTGTGTTGGTTTTGTTGTTTTATTACTTTTTTTTACATTAGGTCTGGCCTTAAATTCATGACCTCCTGCCTCAGACTGTGTAGATGTTACAGGTGTATACCACCAAACCCCACTTGTTTTCTGAAGTTTTGTTCAGAAGTCTTGAAGTCTTGGGTTCATAGCCAACATGAAATAAAGGCCTCACAGTTTAGGAGGCTGGAGAGATGGCTCAGTGGTTAAGAGCACTGGCTGCTTTCCCAGAGGTCCTGAGTTCAATTCCCAATAACCACATGGTGGATCACAACCATCTGTAATGAGATCTGGCGCCCTCTTCTGGCCTGCAGGCAGATATACAGGCAGAATAGTGTACACATAATAAATAAATCTTAAAAAAAAAACCCTCAGATCAACAGTAAATTCTAGAAACTGATTTAAAACTAAGTATGTGTGAAAGAGATTGGAGCGATCACTAAAAGGCCAGAGGTGGAGAGCAGCCGTGAAGGACAGGACGGGGTAGCGTCCCTGGGCAGGACATGCAGGGAGTTGGCCCTGCCCACAGAGCCCTGTGGAGGAATCTCCCCAGACACCAGCAATGCCACAGATAGAAGAGAACTAAATGTGTCCCCCTGGCCCGTGTCCTAGCAGGGCTGTGCTGGCACAGCCTCAAGTATAACCCCAGGTTTCAACAGTGAGGAGGGACTCACCTGTAGGTGTATGGCCCCACTTCTTGCAGTATGGGAATTTCTCCTTGAAGGATCTCCTCTGGATTGGTGACGTTGAAGAAGTAGAACTGGGTGTACACAGGTAGAGGGGGTTTCTCCCAGGAGTCAAAGACCTCGGTACCGTTTCGTAACACCATATTCTGGGGAGAGAAAACAAAACAGCTTTACAAAGGGTCTGTAAGAGCACTGCTTCTGAACATGGGGCAGAAAGGGGGCACATTCCCTATCCTGTAACTGGGGTTTGGGGGCAAACACCCAGGTTCCAGAAACCACTAGAAACTCGTGTGGCAACCTGTCCAGATCCACCAACTGAAGACGAGAAACAGCGAAAAGCAGAGAAAGTGTTATCTGTGTATGGAGAGGAACACATAAAGGAGCCCTGTGACTCGGAGTTCACCTTTGGGGTCTTGAGAGCTTTACAAGTGTGGGGTTTAGCTTGGCTTTAAGGCAGGGTTTCACGCTGAAGTCTAGGTTGGCCTGAAATTCATTATGTAGCCCAGGCTAGCCCTTCCTGAAATTCATTATGTAGCCCAGGCTAGCCCTTTGAGACAGTCCTCTTGTGTCAACCTCCTGGGTGATTACAGACACGCACCATCCTGCCTGGTGAACTTTAAGTTTAAACAGAGGGAGAAACAGCATGGTTCTGTCCATCATTGTCTCAGATCTGACCCTGCTGGGAGCTTCAGTATGTTAAATTACTGTAGTATCAACTTGTTCCTATCAAATGATCCACTCTGAGATATCATCACTCTATCACACACGATAGTTCTCATCTTCACGTAGGTGAGCCTGGAGGGGGTTGAGGTAGGAAGGACAGACAGACACTCCTCAGGTTCTAGGTGCCTGTCATGGTCTGCTCTCTTCACCTGCTTATTTCTACTCAATCTTGGGTATCCACTTGCAATCTCTTGAGAACTGGGCCATATGTCCATAGGGCCCACTGCCTTATTAAGCCATAGGTTGTCAGAAATATTTGCTCTAACGGAAAGATAGTACAGATAGGGCTCCTGGATGGTAGCATCGTGTGCCTTTGGCATTTGAAGATTCACTGATAGCAACTTTTGAGTTTTAGAAGTCACCGAAAAGCACAATATACTCCCAGCCGGCCCAAGAGAAAGAATCCAACAGACAGGTCAGCACCAGCTTTGGTCCTTCCGCTGACATGGAACCACACCCATCCAGCAACTTCACCATCAGGAACCTTTGCAAGCATCTTACAGTCAATCCCTCACAAATATATAAACGAGGGAAGTCTGTCTCTGGCTCAGACCCAAACTGAGGTTGGTGATTATTATCAACAACCTCTTTTCCCCACAATCTTTCCTTTATTTCCTATTTTACCAAGGTGTCATGGGCTAATATCCCTCATATTCCAAATTCATATTTCTAAGTCCTAACCCCCGGTACCTCAGCATGGGAGCATGTTTGAAGAGTGGGTTTTTAGAGAGGTGACTGGGGGTAGATGAGGTGATGAAAGTGGGACCCGATATAACTGGTGTCGTTAAGAACAAAAAACTATGCCGGGCGGTGGTGGCGCACGCCTTTAATGCCAGCACTCGGGAGGCAGAGGCAGGCAGATCTCTGTGAGTTCAAGGCCGGGCTGGACCGATAGCCTCCAAAACAATACAGAGAAACCCTGTCTCGTAAAACCAAAAAAAAAAAAAAAAAAGAACAAAAAACTAGGAAAAGAAGCACACTGCACGGGTAGACAAAGCTGCTCCCAGAAGAGAAGCCAGGGGTTAGTAAATGAGAATCCCAGGGTCAGGGTGGGCTACCTCCCTATGAGTTGTTGATCTAGGAGGCCTCTGAGGCCCCCAAGGCAGCACAGGCAACAGCCACTGCCCTTGGTTGCCCACCAGAACTAAATGATAGCGTCTGCTTGGGTCACAGGATGAAGAACTCAAAATGGAATGGAGCCGGAAGCTTCCTCACTGCTAGATGGCTCTGATGGCGCCAGAAGGTGCGATGAAGACTTCGGGGGGCAGAACTAACTCCAATGTCTTACTCAGCTGTGGCCCCTGAATGCTATGCTATTGACTGGTGCTCCTGCTAGTGCAACAGTGGCGAGCCTGTTGTGGGAGTAACCAACCACTTTCTGCTTGGATGTGAGGCCTGCTCCCCAGGAGGGAATTCATGCCTGGCACTGTAAATCTGTCAAAAGCCCACACCTGGCAGGTCATGGGTCCTCTTGCAGAAGCTACCGGTGGTTTTTAGCTTAATGGACAGGATATGCTTGTCCAATTGCCTTCTAAATAATTATGTCTATGCCCAGAAAGCAAGGCTGCTATCAGAGACGCGTCCTCTTGCAGTGGACAGAGGTACCTGCAGAGACTTACTGCTGGCCAAGGTGATGAGAATAAGTGACCTTTGGCCACTCAGGCATAAATGAGATATCCTCTAAGACACAGAAAACGTTATGAAAGGGTGTCCAACCACCATTTCTATCCTATACCTTGCCAAGTCAGGCTGATGGACTAGAATCATTGAAAAACAAACTATGTGACACCTTCCAAAGTCCAGGAGAAGACTGCTTGCTGACTCTTTTCATTTGTTCCCACATCCTCCACCATTTCCCACCCCAGGCAGCAACTTTGTCAACTTCACCCGTGATGCAGGCAGGTATATAAGAGCTCTGTGATTCATTCTTCTCTTTCCCGTGAGGTATTAGGAATTGAATTCAGCACCCCATAGATACTGGGTAAGCACTGTACTACTAGCTGTATCTCCAGCCCTTAAGAAAAAGTCTTCATTATTAGTGTTGTTTTGAAACACTAAGTTACCCACGCTAGCCTTGAGTCAGTCCAGACAGGCTTTAGTTTCTCAAGTCCTGGGATTACATGGCTGGCTAAGGCCTATCTTTATCTCCTAAACTCAAGCCTAAACTAGTTGGGGGTAGACAGGACAGGAAATTTAGAAAAGGAAAACCAGACTAGGTGTGCTCTAACAGCCGAAAGGTAAAAGTCTTTCTCCACCTACGTCATAGCTGGATCTGGGACCCAGCAACTTTTCCATTTCAATTTGGCATACATTTGAATTGAAAGAGCGTTTCTTCCTATACATCTTTCATATACCTTTTTAGAAGTCTGTCTATCAGAAAGTATGAACAAAACACCTAAAAACTACCAGGAGGCCGGGCGTTGGTGGCGCACGCCTTTAATCCCAGCACTCGGAAGGCAGAGGCAGGCGGATCACTGTGAGTTCGAGACCAGCCTGGTCTACTGAGCGAGTTCCAGGACAACCTCCAAAGCCACAGAGAAACCCTGTCTCGAAAAACCAAAAAAAAAAAAAACAAAACAAAACAAAACAAAAAACTACCAGGAATGTAAGCTACATGTGTTCTTATCCCTACAGTGTGTAGTCTTTCCTCTGCTTGTTTAGTGAACACGTTGAAGGTCAGAGGGACAAGTTCAAGTCCAAGGCTGCAAGGTAAACTCAGCGTGAGCATTAACCCGGCCTTCTTTTCCCACACAGAGCCCACCCTGTGGGAGTGGGGAGCTGCAAGGGCTGCCTCTGTGTAGGAGTCAGCTGAGGTCAGCAACGCAGCACCAGGCTCACCCTCCTTTTCCAAGAATAGAGGAAGGGAGTCTGCCAAGACAGCTCAGTGACTAAGAGGGCTTGTTGTGCAAGCATCGGGACCTGACTTCTAACCCCAGGTCCCACAGAGAAAAAAACAAAGCAAAACAAAAACATAGGCGTGGGTGCACGTGCCTGTCACCCCAGCACCGGCAGTCCGATCCTAGGAGCTGGACGGCCCAGCCTACATGAAACGGTGAACTTCCAGCTCAGTGAGAGGCTGTCCCGTGGGAAAAAAAACAGAAACCGAAAAGCAGGACACCTGGTAGCCTCTTTGTTCTACTGTAGCTCCTGTAGATGGACACATACAGGCACACACACCTCACACACAAAATAAAAATAGATTAGTTAATCTTATTTAAAAAGTAAAAACAGAAAGGGCTGCATCTGTGTGTTGTGGCCCATGCCTATAAACCAAATACTGGGGTGGGTGGGCCAGGAAGATTGTCTCGAGTTTGAGACAATCTGGCTATATAGTGAGAGCCTGTCTCAAAGACAAAAGCAAAACAAAACACAAACAGTACAGAAATGTACTCCAGAATTTCCACATGTCTGTTCAACAGTGTAGCACAGTGGTCAAGAGGGTTAAACAGAAAGAGGAAGAGGAGCCAAAAACACGGCTCAGTGGTTAAGCACACTATTGCTCTTCCAAAGGATCCAGATTTAGTTCCCAGCACCCACAAGGAAGCTCACAATAGTCTGTAACTCCAGTTCCAGGAGATCCTCTGGCCTCTGTGGGCACCAGGCGTGCACACATGGTACACATCCATATGCAGGCAAAATACTCATAAACATAAAACTACATACACCTAAAAAACAAAGCATGCACGTAAATGTGGGGCTTTGCCTTGCCTAGCATGTGGAAGGCCTTAAGTTCAATTCCCAGCAAAGGATGAGGGCGGGTGGGGGGGGGGATGGACAATACAAATCTGACTTGGATGAGGACAGTAATGAAAACATTATTGCAAGGACAGAAAGGACTATTGCAAATGGCAAAAGCTAGTAGTGATGTCTGTGGGGTCTCTAGAGTTAGGCAGAGTTTGCTTTCCTAGGAGGCGTGGTCAAGGCTAGAGAACGCGGTGTTGGGAAAAGTGGGGTGCCGAGGAGCGGCAGAATCAGTGAGCAGAGGGTCTCACCTGGAGGCCAGCTATGGCCCAGCACTGAGGTGTGTGGAGAATGTGAGGGAGAAAGGACACCGGGTCTATCTCATTTATCTGTTAAAGAAGATCATCTACAAATTACAGACCCCAGAGACTCCGCAGTGAGAGTTGAACAGATGGGTAAGCAGCTGGGCTTATCCTGCTTGGTTTTATGCAGCTCAGGCAACCCAAAGTACAAAGGAAAGTGGGAGTTTCCAGAAAGAAAGGGGGAAGAAATCTTTCCAGAAAGGGGGGAAGTCAGCTTACTTGGGCATTTATAAGCATGTCTCTGACGTATGGGATAAAAATAAACATTTAGAAGACTTGTCTCCTTAAATAAGGCAATTGAAAACTATTGAAACAGTCCTTGCCAGCTTGCCTGGGTCGCAGATGGTAGCAGACTCTGGTACACCCTAGTGTTCTCCCCA